TAAAATTAAAATTTTCTGAAACTCTTCTATTTCTGTAATATCTCGAAAATTTTAGAGGCTATAATTTAAATATTATATATTATTATAAAGGTGAGGAGGTTTTTTATTACCAATTTATTTCATGGTGTAAAGTAACCGGTTACCAAAATTATGATCTCTAAGATATGATACTTAAAAAATTTCCTAAAATTAAAATTGTTTGAAACTTTTCTATTTCGGTAATATCCCGAAAATTTTTGTGGCTACAATTTAAAAATTATATACCATTATAAAGGAGAAGAGGTACCCTTTTTATTACTAATTTATTTCATGGTGTAAAATAACCGGGTACCAAATTTATAACCTCTAAAATATGATACTTGCAAAATTTCCTAAAATTAAAATTTTTGAAACTTTTCTATTTCTGTAATATCTCGAAAATTTTAGAGGGTACAATTTAAATATGTTATATCATTTTAAAGGGGAGAAGGTACCCTTTTCAGTACCAATTTATTTCATGGTGAAAAATAACCGGGTACCAAATTTATGACCTCTGAAATATGATACTTGAAAAATTTCCAAAAATTTAAATTTTTTGAAATTTTGTATTTCTGAAATATCACGAAAATTTTAGTGGATACATTTTTAATATGATATATCATTGTAAAGGGGAGAATGTACCCTTTTTATTATCAAAATTTTTTATGGTGAAATATAGCCTGGTTCCAAATTTATGACCTCTGAAATATGATACTTAAAAAATTTCCTAACCCTTTTCATTACTAACTTCTTTCCTACTTCTTTGAAATTTTTAAAAATATTTTATGGCCATCTAAAATAGATGTGGATTTAATTTATTTTTTTTTTACATAAATATTTTTTCCTTGAAAAAAAGTTTGCTTCCAAAACTTACCTTTGCCGCCGCAAAACCATCCGGATTACAGCTGGGCAACAAATGTATTTCCGTTGTATTCAATAGCTGTTGAATTTCTCCGACACTTTCGTAATTTTTCAATAGATATTCGGCCAAATACAGGATCATTTGACGACCCAATGTTTCATCACCGTGTATATTGGCGGTAACTTTCACGACCGGACGTAATAGATCACCCGCCACAGCATCTTCACCCGGTGCCGATAATGCCAAAACATTTAGATCGCGATTTTGCAACGTTTTACCGATTGAATATGAACGTGCTATGTGCGGATATTCTTCTTGTAGCCGATTAAATAACGAATGGATTTCTTCATTTGTTAGATATTTTGGTGTAACGAGAAAATCTTCATTTTCATGTGGCGTAGATTGTGATTGCGCCTGCGCGGCGGCAGCACACTTTGAACACTTAGAGCCGTACTTAACACAACAACAACGACAGAGACGTAGCGGCTTATTTGACGAACGGATAACGATTGTGAGTCACGACGACGACAGCGAAACAAATCGACGCCATTGCTTCTAGAACGATGCAGTGCCGCACCTGCGCACATTTTTTCTCTTTTCTTCATTGGACAAAAAACGAACCCGAACTATTTGTATTCACTTTTTAAGCCACTGATTTTTTTTCGAATGCCACTAAATTGGATTTAAATTTTCACACTTTGTTATATTTTTCTTTTTTATTTTTTGCTACTTTGTGTAAAACATTTAACAACACACAGGTAGGTAATTTAATCTTCTTTTTTCCAATACCTATTTTCTTTGTCGTATTTTAACACCTTTTAAAACATATTTTTTTTCGATATTTTTTTTTCTTATTTTTGCTGACGTTGGAGAGGTCGATTTCTCCCTCTCTGCTTGAATTTCTTTGTATGACGGCTGAATGCACTTGTATTTGTTGTTTTCTTTGTTATGACAAATACACTTGTTTTACAACACAATATTATTATTTCCTTTTTTAATTTCCTTAATATTTATTTATAATATATTAAAAAAAATAAACAACAAAAAGAACTTAAACAAAAAACAATCTTTAAGATACAAAGATACGACCGTAAAAGCAAGCGAGCGCAAAACCGGACGCGAGTTTGTTGTGTTTATGCCCGTCAACATCAAACTAACACTCAAGTGACTAGGGTTGACAAGATCGACTTTTGCCGTTGATAAACAAATGACTAATCGATGCTTTCAACAAAGTGTTGCCACATTGTTATTATAATTTAATTAATATAAAGAAAAAAATAATGAAAATTTATGAAAAAATATTATTAAAAATTCAAAAGAGAAATAAAAAAATAAACAAATGACTAGTTGATGTTTTCAACAGAGGGTTGCCACATAGTAATTATAATTTAATAATTATAAAGAAAAAAAAATTAATAAAAAATATTTAAAATTCAAAAGAGAAATAAAAAATAAAATAATCCCAAAATATATACCATTACATTTATTTTTAATTATTTAAATAATATATATGAATATACAATTATATTTCTTTTAGAATTTATTTAAGGTTATAACATATGTGGTCTGTTCCCATACTGCAAGAATCTACTAGACTTTTTTTCTATTTTCTTCAATATCATAGAAGAAAATTCATTATCGTAATAAAAAGTGGTAGATTTGAGATTTGAAAATAGTGACTCTGAGAGATTTGCGTGAGTCAAATACAGCCCTGAATCAGTGTTGCCGTACAAAAACAAATTTCCGCCCATAATTGTGCCCAAAATGAACAATTTATGCCCAAAAAGTCAAGATTTAAAAAGGTATACCTTGACGTTATATTAAAAATACAGCAAGAAGTCGGATGGTGTCATATGGTTCCCTACACAAATACCACTGGATTTAAATTTTCAGTGACAATTGTCCATATGTGCCTCTAATAAAAATAACCATGTAGAAAGGCTTGTTTATTGGTTGCCCAGATCCACTTCTTGGTTAATTTTCATGGATTTCGTTACTATCAAGTTCATTTGTCATAAATGTATGGTGTTTATGTTTGTTTGTGATATGATCCAGTTTTGTGCATTTGTGCATTCCCTAAGGTTGATGGTGGCAAGGGTTGAGAATTCCCCCTGACAATGTTCCCCAACTGAGCTAGCATGGAACCTCAACATAGCGCCTCGTTATGCTTGAAATTAACAATGTAGGATGAGTTCTGGCCAATGAAGACCCCTATTGTTTTTTGTAAAGATCGGTTAATATTTGGGGGAAGAAATGTCTGATTTTCTGGTCGCTCCAGAGACCGCAATTATGGCCCAAACATCGCGTATTTTTACAAGGAGAAGGGAATCGGGCTAAATTTGTATTCTATGGCATATATATCTAGCCCTGAAGGACATAGATCCGAGAGGTTGATATTATATCCAAGAGAAGTGGTTGACCTTTAAATTGATACCAATTATATTGTCGTATGTACTCGAATGTGGGAGTTACACTTAAATATTTACAGGTTCTTACGTATTCATATATTATTTAGTAACCCATTACCACACACTATAGGCCGGAAATATAGCACTGATCGCTTTGAAATTTTCCACGAGGATCCAGGTATGGTCAAAAAGAACGCCTATAATTTTCGATGATCATCAGATAATAATATTGGGATGAGTTGGCCGAAAACTTAATTTGGTGTGTGTGTTTTCGAGTCGATCGCCACATTTGAAAGCCGAACATCACAACACAACCCACGCTGAAGAGTTAGATTTTCGTGGAAGTTGTGTAGGGTCGGCCCCGTCCGACTATACTGCTCCGCTCACTGGTTTTTAAATAATTTGAAGACACCTACAATAGGTGAGTTTTTTTAAATATTTTTTAAGTAAACACACTGGGTGAGAATTTTTATAAAATATGCGTTTAAGTGACCTACAATGCCTTTCAAACTGTACAGTATGGTCATTTTTTATTATGCTTTTCTATTTTTTCCTAGCCGTCGCTATAATTTTAAGGGCTTTTTATTTTATTTATTACAGTAAATGTTTTATTTTTATTTTGGTATTTATTTATAATTTTTATTTTTTATTTTATTTTTTTTTTCTAATTAAAAATATAATTTTTCTGCATTTTAAATTTATTTTCCTTCATTCCTAGCTGTCCATGTCAATTATAACCTTCCCGCTCAATATGGCAACTCTGCTTTATCTGTTGTTTGTCTTTATTCGTGTGCCTTTCAAACTGTGTGTACAGTGTCGTTTTTTTGCCAGAAAGGCAACAAACGAACCAGGGAGAAGAATATTTAAAGAAAGAATAATTATCTGCATTTGTTTTGATTCAATCTTTACATTTTCCTTGCATTCCTAGCTGTTACTGTTAATTAAAACCTTCCCGCTCTGTTTTCTCTGTATGCCATTATTATTGTGCCTTTCAAAATGTACAGTGTCAAAAGTCGATCTATTTATCCCTAACTCACGCACACAATGTTCGTGTGACCTGTGATGTGAATGATGAAATGGATGTGTGTTTGTCAACAATACGCGTCTCTCATGTAGTTTCCATTCCACCTCATTCGTAAATATTGCGTTAATCTACTTTGAGTTCTTATTTATCGGTAATTTTATATTTTATCTCTTTCGTTAGAAGGTGGAACGTTTTTCAATTTGTCTTCAGTGGACGTTGTGTCATCAAATTCATTTTTTTGCACGAAGAAAGAAAGAACAAATCACACGAATCACGTAGAAGAAAAGTTAAAGGAAAAAATTGATTATTTGCATTAAAAAAACTCTTCAAAAAAGTGCTGGAAAATACGAACCTCTTAAATGTGTGTGGATAAAAATTATAAAAATATTAACACACCCTATAAGGGCCCTGGAAAATAAACAGTAAGCAGCACACCATCTATCCCGAAGAAGAAGCAGAAGGGGAAAAATCAATCTTCGAAACAACAGCAGAAGACGAAAGATTGAGTAATTTTAGCAACGAACGGAAAAATACCAACAACAACCACTCGTACTACGTCGTCCGTTGTCGCTAAGGTCTAGACAAACAAATTGAAGAAGACCACCCATTACCTAGAACAAGGAAGCAAGAACAGTATCAAATTTCCTATCCAAACAAAGGCGGAAGTGACCTTGAAATGATGCCCAATCAAAGAGCTTCGGCAGCTGCCGAAGTGGTACACACTGGCAGTGGCCCCCAACCCTTGGTGAAGATTGGCCATTATTTGTTGGGTGCCACCTTGGGTACGGGTACCTTTGGCAAGGTCAAAATCGGTGAACATCAAATGACCAAACACAAGGTGGCTGTGAAGATATTGAATAGACAAAAAATCAAGTCGCTCGATGTTGTAGGCAAAATCCGCAGAGAGATACAAAATCTGAAACTCTTCCGGCATCCTCACATTATTAAGCTGTATCAGGTTATCTCCACACCCACGGATATCTTTATGATTATGGAATATGTCAGTGGCGGGGAGCTGTTCGATTATATTGTCAAACATGGCAAGTTGCAGGAACATGAGGCCAGGCGATTTTTCCAACAAATTATATCCGGTGTAGACTATTGTCATCGCCACATGATTGTACATCGTGATTTAAAACCGGAGAATCTGCTGCTCGATCATAATCGCCATGTCAAGATTGCCGATTTTGGTTTGTCCAATATGATGTTGGATGGTGAGTTTCTGAGGACATCGTGTGGCTCTCCCAATTATGCCGCTCCGGAAGTTATTTCGGGAAAGCTGTATGCCGGTCCTGAGGTGGACATATGGTCATGTGGTGTAATTCTATATGCCCTGTTGTGCGGTACATTGCCCTTTGACGATGAACATGTGCCAACATTGTTCCGCAAGATAAAATCGGGTATCTTCCCCATACCGGAATATTTGAATAAACAAGTGGTGAATTTGGTGTGTCAAATGTTGCAGGTGGATCCGCTGAAGAGAGCCACCATTGAAGAGATTAAAAAACATGAATGGTTCCAAAAGGATTTGCCTTCGTATTTATTCCCCTCGTCCATTGAACAGGATTCCAATGTAATTGATACGTATGCCGTGTCGGAGGTTTGCTCCAAATTCGGTGTCAAGGAACAGGAGGTCCATAACGCCCTGTTGAGTGGTGATCCCCATGACCAACTGGCCATTGCCTATCATTTGATAATTGACAACAAGCGTTTTGCTGATGAGGCTGCCAAAACGGAAATAAACAACTTCTTTGTGGCTGGGTCACCACCCCCCGCCGCCCATTCACCAAATGAACCACAAGATCCCACTTTTGGTGGTGGTTCTTCGTCGGGTACCTCTACACCGGGCAGAACATCCCTTACACCATCCATGAAACCCCATCCTGAACGTATTGCCCCATTGCGTGAACGTCAATTAGCCATGGCTGTACAGGCCCAAGGTGGTGGTGCCTTTCCTGAAAAAGCGGCCCGAGGCACTCCCATTAAACGTGCCAAATGGCATTTGGGTATTCGCTCGCAGAGTAAACCCAACGATATTATGTTGGAGGTATATCGTGCCATGAAAGCCCTTGACTATGAATGGAAAATCATTAATCCCTATCATGTGCGGGTGCGCCGTCAAAATCTGAAAAATGGTACCTATTCGAAAATGTCATTGCAGCTATATCAGGTGGATGCCAAAAGTTATCTGCTCGATTTTAAATCCCTTACCAACGATGAGGTGGAACAGGGTGATGATGTGATTTTGGAGAGTTTGACACCACCCCCGTTGAGTCATTCAGGGGTAATGCCGCCACAGCCAACTGGTCATCATACAATGGAATTTTTTGAAATGTGTGCTGCTTTAATTATACAATTGGCTCGTTAGGGAGGAGATTGCTACCTCCTCCTTTTTCTAAAACACACAACAATTTATATTCACATGATTTTTATAAAGCTATCCCAAAGTCCAAAAAACAAATGAAGAGAAAATACTATTTTAAAACTATGCATTCATTGTATGTCATCTTTAAATAATATTAATAATTATTGTTGTTTATTTTAAAAATTATTTTATTCAAAAAATATATATTCCTCTTCCCTTCCTTCCTTCTACAAATTTTGTCTCTCTCCTTTGGTTTATTTCCATATATCCCTAATATATTTTGTTGTTGGCTTGCTTTGTTAAATTTATTATGGCAAACAATTGTTTTATTATTATTATTTTACATATAACTACATACATATATTTAAAATTTTATTTTATATTCTATTTTGCTATAAAGCTTTGTGGGCTCTAAGCTAAAAGCAAAACAAAAATATCCCAAAATTTATTTTTTTTCTTTTCAAAAAGGCAATATCATCAAATGTATGGAATGATTTATAAACTATTATACTATTACTATTATTATTATTTTTTATTAGTATTGTAAGTTTTATTTTCTGTTAATAAAGGTTAAGTGCTATATTAAAACAAAGTATTAACAAATTGTATTTAAATTGTGTTTGAATTTGTTTTTGGTATATAACTAAATATATAACTGATATATAATTTAGGGCTTTTTTCCGGTACTACTTTATTTTAGAAGGTTGGGGTCAATGGAAAATCTGTTCTACATAAAATTTCACTATAGGCCATCGTTCAACAAAAATCGGTAGTTATAATATATACCAATAAATTACACACCCACAAATTTGGTAGAACATTATAGGTTATAGTTTTTGTAAATTGGTTATTACTTTCAGGTTAGGTTAATTTTACAAGCTCTGCTTCATTTTAGGCGATTGGTGCCAATGGAAGATCTGTTCTACATAAAATTTCACTATGGGTCACCGTTCAAAAAAAATCGGTAGCTATAATATATACCAATAAAATGCCTAACCTCAAATTTGGTAGAAAATATAACCTATATTCCTTTAAGACAATTCCAAATTAGACCAATTTTACCGTCTCTACTTCATTTTAGACATTTGATGTCAATGGAAGATCTTTTCTACACAAAATTTCACTAAAGGTCACAGACCAACAAAAATCGGTAGTTATAATATATACCATGAAAATAACCACAATCAAATTTGGTATAACATATAACCTATATGTTTTTGTCAATTAGTTATTATTTTCAGGTTAGGTCAATTTTAAACGCTCTGCTTCATTTTAGAAGCTTGGTCTCAATGGAAGATCTGTTCTACATTAAATTTCACTATGGGTCACCGACCAACAAAAATCGGTAGCTATAATATATACCAACAAAATACCCACCGTCAAATTTGGTAGAAAATATAACCTATATTTCTTTAGGACAATTGGTTATAATTTCAAGTTTAGGCCAATTTTACCAGCTCTACTTCATTTTAGACAGCTGGTGTTAATGAAAGATATGTTCTACATAAAATTTCACTATAGGTCACCTTTCAAAAAAAAAAAAAAAAAAATCGGTAGCTATAACATATACCAATAAAATACCTACCAACAAATTTGGTAGAAAATATAACCTACACTCCTTTAGGATATTGGTTATCATTTCAAATTTAGACCCATTTTATTAGCTCTACTTCATTTTAGACGGTTGGTGTCAATGGAAGATGGATTTCACGGATTTTGCAAATATTTCGCATATTTATCAACCGATTTTGTTGTAACGTGGTATTTTGCACTTTCATTGGCTAACACAACTCCACTAAAAATAATTAACATAGGCCCACCCTTAGGTATATTAACCAATTTTTTTTCCAACTCGGCAGTTTGGAGTTTCATGGACTAACACAACTCCATACAATTCGCATAGGCCCACCCTGTTTTCAATACTTTTTTTGTAATTTGATATCAGGGGTTCTCTTTGGGTGCATTTATTTATTTATTACCTAATGTATTTTAAATTGAAACCTATTTTCGTCCATTAAAAATCACTTGATATTTTTTTTAAATTTTTTTATTTTCTTATTAAACATTATAAACTTAAACTATTAAAAAAACATAAAAATATGTTATATAGAAATTATTTTTTATAAGGAAAAAAAATTAAATTATTCTAATGGGGTTTTTCTTGTTTATGCAGAGAAATTCATTAATTGTTTTGTTACGATACGATTTTTTTAATTGTTGAACTAATAAGTTTCAAAAAAGAATAATTGTGCTGCTGCTGCATATCAAAACACACACAGCCAGCCCATTACAGCCCTTTCTTTAAATGATTGAAAAAAAATCTCTTTGTTCCTGATTATATTTTTTTCCTTCTTTCGTCGCAAAATAATTATCCGCTATTACTATTTCGCGTCTTTATCATCTAGTTCAGCAGATTTACGATTTTTCTTTTTCAATTTGTCGATTAACGATTCTATACTGTTGGCATCAACCAAACCGATGAATTTATCTACCACAACACCATTACGAAACGCCAGAACGGCAGGTACAGCTTTCACTTCAAATGTTTCGACCAATTCGGTATTGTTCTCGACATCAATAATGGCTAAATCAATTTCATTGGAATTTTCCAAAAGTTCTTCCATTTTGGGGGTGAGAATTTTACACGGATCACACCATTCGGCATGGAAATTGACAATGACGGGATTATCGCTGTTAATTACCTGGAAGAGGGAGAAAGGAAAAAAAATTTATTTAATTTTTGAAAGGTATAAACATTATAATTTGGGGTTCTTAAGCGCGTTTTTCCACCGAATTTGCTGAGACTTTATACCTTCCGTTCTTATTGAGTACCAAATCTCCCCACTTAAAATTATAAATATAGATCCACTTTTTCCGGTAGGCCCCATATATGGGTATCATCAATTTTCGATATTTTGGGGTTCTTAAACGCGTTTTTCAACCGAATTTTCTTAAATTTGGTACACTCCGTTCTTATTGGGTACCGAATCTCTCCACTAAAAATTATAAACATAGGTCTACATTTTATGGTAGTCCCCACATAACTGTACCCCCAATTTTCGATGTTTTGGGGTTCTTAAGCGCGTTTTTCCACCGAATCTCCTGAGATTCGATACGTTCTCTCCACTAAAAATTAGAAATATGGGTACACTTTTTCCGGTAGGCCCCATATAAGGGTACCTACAATTTTCAATATTTCGAGGGTTTTGAATGCATTTTTCTAACGAATTCTCAGTAATTTGTCACTTTGCGTTCGTATTGGGTACCAAATCTCTCCACTAAATATTATAATTGTAGGTCAATTTTTTTTGGTAGTCGCGTTTTGCAACCGAATTCGCTGTAAATTATTTATATAGCTCTAATATCCTGCACACAGAGCTCGTCTATAAAGACGCCCCATCGCTCGTTTATAAACACTTTAAAGACACCCTTCAGCTCGTCTATAAAGACTCCCTTTAGCTCGTCTATAAAGTCTCACTTCAGCTCGTCTATAAAGTCTCATTTCAGCTCGTCTATAAAGTCTCACTTCAGCTCGTCTATAAAGTCTCACTTCAGCTCGTCTATAAAGTCTCACTTCAGCTCGTCTATAAAGTCTCACTTCAGCTCGTCTATTAAGATTCCCTTTAGATCGTCTATAAAGACTCCCTTCAGAGCTCGTCTATAAAGACTCCCTTTCGCTCTTTTATAAAGACTCCGTTTTGCTCGTTTATAAAGACTCCCTTTCGTTCGTCTATAAAGACCCCTTTCAGCACGCATATAAAGACCCCCTTTCGTTCGTCTATAAAGACTCCCATCATCTATTCCATTATGATTCCCTGTTTCCAAATGCAACAATCCCTTTGACTGTGCCTTGAGAATTCAGGTCTCTGGTTGTCTCCACAAAAGAAAATTATTATTTTCTTCTTAATAAATTTATTAGATTAATTACCTAAAGTTATCAGATCCCCTCGCAATATTTCCCTTGGGTGTAATTTATTCTTATCGAAAGTCTTCTTCATATTTTGTTTACTCTAATTTTCGCCAAATTCTTGAATTTTTATCATTCCAGTATTATCCGGTAACTAAACTGGATAACGAAAACAAGCACAGAGACGTCATATCCCCCCTTCACCTTTATGATTGAAGGGCAACACACAAAAAATGCTGCGGCGGCATACGTGAACAAAATCACGATAATTTATGTTCAATTGTTGTTGCTTTTAATGGGGCAACAACAACATACACAAAATTTATGCATATTGCATAATTCATTTTGTTTAGGTTTTTTGTTAAAATACCAAAAAAGGCGGCAACAAAATAAAGCCAAACTGACAAATCACCTGTTAATTGAAAGACTGAAGGGTAGCCATCATTTCTTTAAGGGAGAGCAGCAGGGGAGAGAGAGTGCGCGAACTTTCATATGCATTAAATTTCTTTCAACTCTCCATATTAAACAACTACTCTGGTTCTCTCTCTCATGCATTACACAGACGAAGAGAGTGAGAGGTAAAGATCATTTGTAAGGGAGGATGGGCAGAAAAAAATGGAAAATTATGGAACAACAAAAAACTATCTACCAGCCATTACAAATACATGACCTAGTTATGAGACCTGATTTTGTTTCGTTGTTGTTATTGCTTCCCTCAAACCACTTGTCAATGAATGAAGCTGATGTTGCTGCTTCTTCTTCTTCACCCATTTTCTTTCATTACTTACCTTTTGATCAAATTCATAATGATCTTTGACGGTGAATTTTTTATTTGCTATTTGACTTTGCGATAGAAACTTTTGTGTTGCCGACACGGCAAGGGGGGCCAAACGTTGGCAGGCACTCTGGGCTGATGATGAGGCTTGTACACAGGCCACCAAACGCGGCATTAATCCTTCGGAGGCTATTTTTAGCATGATTCTGTTGTGTTTGTTACGCTTCCACTAACAAAACTGTAACGAGAATAGGGAAATAAAAAAGGAGGTTAATAACATCTTGTGTTTTTTCCTCGTTTTGTTATCTTAAATGTTAGTGACCGTCCAATCATGATAAGATTACTCGCATAACAACAAAAATAAAGCAAGCTGAATGGCTAGATGTTAGGGGTTGTTGTTCCCAGCAAGCAGCATAACATGGCCTGACACATCAATGTCACATAAAATAATGAATCTTGAAATAGTCATGATTTACTTTGTTTTTTTTTTGTTCAAAGAACAAGCAAAACAACAAAAAATATGTAAATGTAAAACACAATTCTTCTGGCCACAAGAACAACAACAACAAGCCATGCATAGAAACGTCGTAGTAGTATTATTTGTTGTTGTTGTATTTGCATGAGGTAATAATGAATAACATTAACATTTTCCACAAAAACACTACACACACACACTCTGGCTTACCTTTTGTATTAATCACCGTTTTATTTTTATCCTTTTGTCTATTGGCTTATTGTTTTAATTTATTTCGATTTGTTTTATTGAATTTATTAATAATACTACTTTAATTTAATATCTTCGTTAGCAAAATAATAAAATTCGTCGTTGGAAAAATAATAAAATAACAAACTTGTCTCGAAATGTCATATCGACAACTGTCAGTTTAGTAAATGAGCTGAAGAGTGCGAGAGTGAGAGAGAGAGTGAAGTCGAGTGTCAATGAACACAGCTGGCATGTCATGCAGTGTTGTCTACAATTTAGAAATGTTTCCCGCCAAATTAAAATGCCAGGCGTTGTAAAATTAAACAACGTTTACACAAAAAAATTATATTATATTGTCAGTTAAGTAAATGTGAAAGTGAAAATGGCAGGCGTTTTGTTGTTTTTTATGTAAAATAAGAATACTTTTACATATAGGATATTATGTTAGTTATTAATTTACATATTTTATTGTTTTTGTTTATAGACGTGCAGTCTTTATAGACGAGCTGAAGGGAGTCTTTATAGACGAGCTGAAGGGTGTATTTATAGACGAGCTGAAGGGTATCTTTATAGACGAGCTGAAAGGAGACTGAAGTCTTTATAGTCGAACACTGAAGGAGTCTCAAGGTTGCTGTCAAAATGCATTATTGTGATTTGATTATCGTTAAAAAAAGTAAATAATGTTCAAATATTTGACATCAAACTTAAGAATAAAAAACAGCTGTTTTCTGCTTCTTAGTTGACTTTTTTAATAGGTCAAAGTGTAAATATGCCACTACTTAATGTCTGTTCACTCCAAAAAAATATTGTAATCTTTAACAAATTTAGATGAAAAAAAAAAATCGAAATAAATTTCAAATACTATAGACGATTCTTGTAGATTCTGGAACTGACTATTAAAAATTTAAAAAATATGTAATGCAAAGATCTACAAATAAGTTCACGCAGCAAGCGGAAGTCACCTGTTTTTATAGACAAGCTGATAGTCGAACTCTGAATTCCATTGTGAAAATGTTTGAATTGTCTCTATAAAACACCTCATTTAAAATATCGTATTTCGTAAATGGCGTAATTTAGAAGTCGGAGAGTAGTGTTTACGGATTTCCTATAAAAAATAATTTGTTTTTGTGTTACAAAAATAATTACTCTTCTGGATTTTGACAGCAAACTTGAGAGGCAACTGATATCCATTTTCCTTAAGATGTTGTTTTCATTTGACAAGGCCTATAAAAAGGTCATAAATACCAACTCCAAAATTTATTGTGAATTACTTACACTTAGCTTTGTTACAGAACGGTTGTTCCATAAGCCGAGCTTAAAAAAGATTTCCAAGCACGTTGGTCTTGTGCGCAAATCCACCAATTTGGAAGACCACGTTCAGATGTTGTTTTTTATTATAAAAACGTTTTTAAATTTTTGCAACAGGATTTTTGCCAACTGCATTTTGACAGCTTTGGTCAAGATCTATTAATCAGGTCACCCAGCTAGCGAAAGTCAGCTGTTATTTCTCAAGTCTAATGTTAAAAATTTGCACTTTGTTTACGTTTTTATAATGGTGGTGAAATTTGGCCTTATCGAACGACCATATTATAGGGCCATGGGCTATACGTTGAAAACAGTATCTATTAATAAGGTCATCCAGGGAGACCAGCTGGATATCAGCTGTTACTTAAGTTTGCTGTCAAAACGCATTATTGTGAATTTTTAACATTAGATTTGAAAAAACCGATTTTTGCTAGCTGGGCGACCTAATTAATAGATCTTGGGCTAGACAAATAAAAAATCTATAAATTTCATGGTCTTGGAAAAAAATATTTTTTACAAATGAATGCCTTTCTACATTTACGAATCTGTTGAAAAATATTAAATATTTCTTAAAAAAATAAATAAAACAATATTTCAATTAAATTTGCACATGGTTTGGTTTTTGGTAAAATTTATTGACCTAAAAATATTTTCTTCAAAAAAAGGATATCTAGAATAAAAACTAATAACTAATACATTTTGAGATTTGTAATTTTTTTGTGTAAAATTTTTTAATCTCCTTTGAAGTTGTACATTGGTAAAGAAAAATTATATATACCAAAACAAAAAAATCTTAAAACCCAAAGTCAATCATGAAAACTTACACTAAACTACCTAAATACTACAAAAAATTTAACAAAAATTGTTTGCACTTTGACTTAGATTACCATGGATTATCTTCCAAATCGGAAGCATTAAAATGTTCCTCTAATGTTTCCTCTTCTGCTTCCAACTCCTCTTCCCCCTCCAATAAATGTTCTGCATTTAAATTGGGGGTTTCTTGATTTGTTTTGTTGTGGGTGGAACGTGTTGTACCACCACCACCACGTCTTTTCTTTAGACCCATATGAGAATTCATGTGTTTCTTGAGATTTGCCTTACACTTAAAGCCTTTACCACATTCGGCACAATGAAATTGATCCACCAGCGAATGTCTGGCAATATGCTGCCTTAAACTACCCGCAAATGGAAATGATTTACCACACTCAGGACATAGATATGGACATTCACCACTATGTAAATTCATGTGATCATTTAACGTCTGTACTGTGGTAAATTTCTTATTACATATTTTACATTGTATATCCTTGTGTGCACCCATGTGACGTTCCAAGTGGTCAGGTAAACCAAAGGTACGATCACAATGTTCACAGGCATATGTAATATCCGGGATGGGCTCTCTTAATATGCTCACTCAGTGTTTTCTTTGATATAAAATTACGATTACATTCGTAACAGGTGAAATCTTTTTCCACCGTTGAATAATGTTTTTTACAATGCGCCGAGAGGGAATTGCGATTACCAAAGACCATTGAACATTCCGGGCATTTGTAAACCACTGGACTATTGGGTGAAGATTTGTCATTGTCAGGTTTCTCGTGCAACTTCATGTGTTTGCGATAATTTTGCATCGATACAAAACGATGTTTACAAATTTCACAGCCATATTTCTTGAATGCCGAGTGCACAATGCTGTGACGTTGCAAACGATATAATTCACAAAATTGTTTGCCACATTCTTCGCAGGTATACAAACCGTCTTCGGGTTTTATTCTAAGGAAAAAAATATTATTTTTAATTTTTAATAATTTTTTTTTAATGAAAACTTACTTTGTTTCCGAAAAATCCATTTCATTTTCGGCCAGAACATACCACTCATTTATATTTTTCAAACTATAATGGTGTCGATTTTTTAAATGTTCACGCATGCGAATGACACGATCATATATTTTGTTACAATCGGCACATTTAAAACGTTTGCGGCCCCTGGAAAAAATAAAATATTAATTAAATTCTAAATAAAAATTCTAAAAAAAAATAAACCTACCCAATCTTAACAATTAATAATGGATTTTTTGGCCGATCATTGGTTTCATCAGTCTTATTTTCTGCCGGCACATCCTTCTCATCTGCTGCCATAATTTGATTTAATGATTTTTGATATTTTTTCTCCTCACAAAGTCTATCCTGCAACTCTTTTTCTTTTCTACAAAAAAATTAAAACAAAATCAATTATTAGGCTCACTTAAAATCTCCCCAAAAATACCCACTTAAATTGTTCCCTTTTCATTACATTTTCTGCCCCATCGACAATTTCCACCCATCGTTTAATATCCTCCACAGCATATCTATGTTTCCGTTCTAAGTGTTCCTCAATGCGTGATACACGATCGTAGATTTTACCACACACCGAACAGATGTATCTCTTTTTGCGTCTAGAAAAAAATTGTATTTAATTTTAAATACGTAATAATAAATATCAAAAAATTTTAACACATACTCAACTTTAGTTATTTTAAGCGGCAGCGATGAATCACAATCCATTATAGAATTCTCATTTTCATCCATATCATCTTGGCAGTTGGAATTCTCATCAATACCGTCTTGGGAAATATCATTGTCTTGCAATATTTCGTGGGAATCTAGTTCCTCGTGAAAGGTTTTGGTGTCTTCGTCGCTAAAAGAAAAAAAAAATTTTTTTTTGAAAACTAAATATTATTTAAAAAATATCCTAGACTTAAAAAAAAATAATAAAAAAAAAATCCGTTGAAAGCAAAATTTTGAAAAAAATGTTTTTAAAAAAATATCCAAGACAAAAAAAAAAATAATGAAAAAAAAATCCGTCGAGAGTAAAATTTTGAAAAAAAGGTCTTTAAAAAAATTCACGCCTTAAAAAAATTATTTTTAAAAAATCCACGCCTTAAAAAAATATTTTTAAAAAATTCAGGCCTTAAAAAAATTATTTTTAAAAACTCCAGGCCTAAAAAATTTTTTTCAAAAATACACGCCTTAAAAATTATTTTTAAAAAATACACGCCTTAAAAATTATTTTTAAAAAATCCACGCCTTAAAAATATTACTTTTAAAAATCCACGCCTTAAAAAATTATTTTTAAAAAATCCACACCTTAAAGAAATTATTTATAAAAAAACCTAGACTTAAAAAAATAATGAAAAAAAAATCCTAGACTTAAA